TATAGCAAGACTTGCATTGGCTACTCAAAGTTAGTAGCTGGTGGTCATTGGGTTAATTAAATTTTAAATGTTACATGGTGACTTGTGCAGAAAAGCATTTAAAGGGGTCACCCATTGCGAAAGGATTAATAGAGGCTAGAGAATTTATTAAGAGTTTGTTCTTGAAAAACAATTATATTAAGGTTCATTTAATACAGTAAGCTTTACCCTGCATTGGTAACATATATAAATGTAGAATTATTCATTGATGATAAAGTATTACTTTACCTCACTTGAGAAAGGTAGAAGTGTTATCACATGAAAAGGTAAGGCTGTTATTTGCCTGGAAATCTTTCTTAGTAAGTTATGTTTGTATGATTTCCAGTGAGAAGTTGATTCCTTCAGTTATCAAAATTTAATTCCTGTAAATTTATTTTTGCATAAACTAAGACATTGAGACAGTTTATACTAATTTAGGTAAGTGATTTCACTCTGAGAACCAAAAGAGCAGGAGATATCAGTGATATTCCTCTAGTCTGGAAAGGGTTTTTTTTTTTCTAAACTTATAAGAAGTAAGGAGTTATCTCTTGTATTGGTTTGATAATTTCTCCACTAAACAACCAAAGTTAGTAGCACATTAAATTTACATTTTGAGAGTACGAGTCTGTAAACTTTTAAAACGTTGGTCTGTATGTTAATGGAAATCAGTTGAAATTAAGCTTTGCACCCTTAACAAAAGATAAAATTTAGTACTCATTTCTTTCTTGTTGGTGTTTTAATTTTCCTTTAATTTTAATTGTGATTTATCTCTTTATGGACAGAAAGATAGAATACTTTGTTTTGCATGAATGCATTTAACTAGTAGGTAGTGTGCGTGCATGTGTATATCTTATTTTTTAATGGACTATGAAAGTAGACAAGTTTAGTGTTTAGATGGAAGTGCCAATACCTTGGATTGTATTTTGCATTGGCTGAAAGTTTTTGGCCATCTTGCATAAACAGACATTATGGAACAGTATTTATGGTGATATTTATAATAACCAACTTAAGGTGATTCTATAAAAGAGGAAAAAACTGTTTAAAATGTCTATCTGCCTTTGGCTGAAAAAACCTAATAGTGAAATAAAATGTAAGTTCTGATAACATTTAAACTTTATAAATCTTGTTAGCAGGAAAAACAACATGGAATATGCAAATAGTCTAAATGTGGCAACACTGAATTTTGTGTGGCCTAAAGAAAAGGATTTCTATTTAGTACATGTTACTTGTCAAAGCATTGTAGCTGGTACCTCAAAAAAATAGTACAAAATACATATGGTGTTTACTGAAGCCTGTAAATTAAAACAAATTATTTTTTATGTTGGTATTCAAAGTGTGCAAGATTTGTTTATAACATTTGATTAGCTTAAGCTGAAAGTTAAAACATCTCATGATTTGCTGTAGCTCACTGTATTGAATATGTGCATGTGTGTTGAGTGACTGGATGTAGTTAAATTTATTTTTTCCTTGTAGCTGAAGAGAAAAAAGAGGAAGCAAAGGAAGAATCTGAAGAGTCTGAGGATGATGACATGGGCTTTGGTTTATTTGATTAAACAGAGAAAAAGACCAATATTGACTTTTTTTTGACACCAGAGTTTGGTGCAAAATTATATATCTTTTGTACCTGGCTTGTTTATAATAAACTTGTTGGGAGTTCATGAATTTGTTTTCTTTATGTACTTACACATTCAGTCATTGCTCTTGGTTTAAAATTGTGGATGCAATGTTATATTAGTTAGTACTTAATAGAGGTTTGAATTATACAGTTTTCAAATCATTATTTTTCACATGTCTAGTTAGTGACAGTTTTAGTTTTGAATTTCACCATATAAATGAATAAAATTAGGGTAACCAACTTTAAGTCACTTTTTTTCAGCAAAAAATTATATGATCACCAGTGTTTTTAAAAATGAAGTATTAGATGACAACTGCAGATTTTAAAGGTATTTCTTGAAGCAAATCTCTGAAAAATACTGGTAGGTGATTAAATATATTCTTAATTATAAATACCAGTTATGAAAGAAATTTATTCTTTAGAAAAGGTCAGTACAGTTGTGCAAACACCAAAATTGTCATGGTTAGTCACCTATGTGATCACAATTTTTTCATAACTTGGTAATAATCACTAATTAGCATTATTCTGTGTTTCTGCTAATAATTGCTGTCTTCGTGGAACTCCTGAGTAGGACCATTTCTTAGTAGTGGTTGGGGTTTGTCCCTCAGTTGTTTTTATGTAAATCTGGTGCTTTTATTAAACCCAGTTAGGTCTTCTATGTAAAACTTGAATGAACTATTTGAATTTTTTTTCAAAAGGGGTATCAAGATTTTGTTGCTCTCTGTTTTGAGTGGGTGTTATCATTTAGGTGACTTAAATTTATTTTGGGAGAAAAAGTGTAATTGTTGAATTTTTGAACGTTTAAAAAGTTAAGTATAATTTAGTAGTTTTATTCCACAATGCTTTTAGTACAATAGTAAATAGGTTTGAGAACTTTAATAGACTGCAGCTTCCTGTTGAAAGGAAGGGAGATATCTCAATTTTTATACTGAGACCTTCAGATCCAACTATTTTCAAGATGGCTGGTTCATAATGGGTACAGTATATTTAAGTTTTAGTGACATGGGTCAATGAATGTAAGAGCTAGAAAGTACTAATGTGCATTTATATCAGTATTGGTCTAGACAAAAAGGGATACATCAGTGAACCAGCTCTGAGCAAATTCAAGAGCAGAAAATATGCTAGCTAGCTAAAGTTCAAATAAATGGAAGTTCCATCATTTAGAATAACCCATGGCCTCAAGAAAATGTTCAAATAATTAGAATAAAAGTGAGAGGAATCAAATAATGATGTAAATTTATTAAAGTTCACACATGAAAGGGATGCCCCCCCCCCCTTTGAATAGCTAAAAGCTAAAGTCACACAGGTTAAAAATTTTATGGATACAGAGAGGTTTTAGTGAAATTATTTTTGAAAGAGCAGAAGAAAACAACCCACTGAATTTTATAACATGACTATCACTGGTTTGTCATTCTGGCAAATTGTATCCAGAGAAAGAATTGATTGTATGAGGTTGGAGTCGAGATTCACAAGCACATGAGTTCTATTAACTTACAGTTCAAGGTTGTGGTCACAAAGACTTGAACATTCAATTTCAAAGTGTCAAATGACATATCTCAAGTCTGAAAAAATATTTTATGCCAAACTGACAAAATTGTGATGTTTATTAGCTACCATGGGAAAGATGCTTAAGTTCAAAATGTTTAGAACACTACTAACGACTTCTTAAGAGATAGTTGCTAAGTCCAATACAGGATTAAGTATACCAGAAGATAAGAGGGTTGAGTTTGGATATTGTTCTCTACAAAATTGCAACAAACTCCAAATGATTTGGTATCTGGTCAACAAAGAAGATTATAAAAAGGGCCAAATAAGTTACAAAAAAGAACATAGGTATAAGAAACCTTAAGCGCCTTAGAGGTCTGTGAATCACATTATATATAGCAGTAATGCGCTTGAATTCTTTTTCTGAAGCTGTTTCACTCATTGTCCAAATCCAGCAATTAGGAAAGAGGTTACCAAACAATGAACATAAAACTGGTACCTGCCACAACTAGACTCCTTATGATTACCTCTGCCATATGAGGCAAGGTATCCATGTCTTTGTTGTTGCAAATACTTGGTAGAGTTACATGAAAGATCAGATGAATTACACAAAATCAATCAATACACAGGAGGAGGAGGAAGAGTTACGAGTTGGAAATTATCCTAACAAGATAACTTTTTGTAGCTCTGCCATAGATATTTTTGAAGAGATGCCCTATATTCCATAGTGCTGTGTAGAAGACCTAGGATAGTGGGCTTTAACCAGTTTCCAAGTATATTTAAGTTCGGTAATTTTGCAGCTGTTTCAGTACTCGCTAATCTCATAGCAACTTCTAAACTGGTCAACTTCAAGACTTAAACAATATCGTTTGTATGTATAATAACCTGCATTCTCTGGGCAATTGCAGTTATTGAGAAAAGCAGAACCTGACTGTAACAGTGCAATATGTTAGGTTCGCGGAAGGAGAAATGTTGAATAAAGAGAACTAAGAAGGGAAGTCACCAAGTTTGGCATGAAGATCAGTAAAAGACGTAGTACTAGCACAACTGAGAAATAGTACCAGAAGATTCCACAAATGTTGAAAACTGTAATAAAATGCCTAGAAAACTTGTTCTTAAAACAAGGAATAGCTAGAAAGTATAAACTAAAACATACACACACGGGTTATTTAAAAGCTCTAATGAGAAATTAACTCTGGGAAGTGTCAAGTAAGTTAGGTTAAAGAAAATCACATTAACGAGTCGAACACAAGAAATTTCAATGAAAGCAGATAGGCGTAATGTTAGATTGATACTTTCTAGTCTTCCACCACTTCGTTCTTTAAAAGTTCACTTACTATGCCTTTCCCCGTTTTATTTGCATACATTTTTGTACCAAATCACAACATGATTGTGTAAGTGTGCAACAAGGTCAAGTGAATTTTATAAATAACCCTTAAAAAACGTTACTGTAATAATACTGCTAAAATGAGCACTAATTTCAAAACATGTTAGTTCATGATAAGCAATACTAAAATTGTTTTACTGACTGTACTATAGTATCAAGAAAAGCAATTTGAATCGTGTTCACTGCGAATTTAATATTTACCGTTAAATTATTGTAAAACAAAACAACTAACGTACTTGTAATGGGGAAAAACTTTGAAGATGTTATTTTGGTTATATTTACTATTAAAGATAAACATTAACTGTTGGAAAAAATTGTACATTTTAGGTGTGTATTTAAACATTTTCATTAAAAAATTTGTTTATAAGGGACAGCTAGTGTCTGGTTTGCGAAATTAGATGCAAGGTTTCTAACCACAAAAAAAGATATTTTTGGGCATTGTGTAGTGGACCTGAGGATCTATGGTTCGAGATCCCCTATATGTTGAAATTTTATTTAATGTTAAATGAGATTGTTCTTTGTGTTGAAGATTACGCTTTGTACTTCAGGCCGAGTCCTCCTTAATGTTCCTGAAGAAGGACAACATGGTAACCGGAACTTCGTGCCGTACACACACAAATATCAGTAGATGTTCATAAAAATAGGAGCTTTTGAAGTTGTGATGACCAATATGTCAACTGTACAAAGATTATTTTTATAACACTATAGTCTACCGCCACTACTAGTACTAGTACTAAATTATTAGTATATAATCTTTTTTGTCTTATTTTTTTTCCTTTTATCAGATATAAAAGTATAAATTATAAACCATCTCTCCAAAATGTATTCTCACAAATCAGGAGCCCTGAAAAGAAAGAACGAGAGGAAAATGAAAAAAGGGGGTCAATAAACGCTCTTTCAATTTGGATTAAGTGCGGCTTCAAAATAATTTTCATTGAACTCACCTATAGCATTGGAGCAAGGAGAAACTGTTGGAAACCTCATCCCCAAACAAGGAACAATTGACTTGGGTAATCATGCACAGGATTTTTATGAAAGGGCAGATGCAGAAAATGAAAATGGAACACAGAAAGAAACATATACAGGCGCATGTGGAAGTGAATTTGGAAGACAAGAGGAGTAATCATAATGTAGGCCTTGACATTGGGGTATCATAACCGTGTTTCCATCTCAAAAGGAAATTGAAAAGTATGTTATCAATGGTCACATCCCTCTGCCCAAAAGACACCCGCAATCAAGTTTTCCCAGAAAGCATATTGAAATTTTAAAGCACCAATGGAGAATTACATGTAAGAGACTGGCTTGTCTGGAGTCAATAGAAACAAGCATTATATTTATTTCCATGTCGATTATTTTGGCACAAGATTGTCAAGACTAGCACTTTTGCGTCTGTGTCTGCACTGGTATCTGTTGAAGGATGGGATGCTAATGAGAAGTGGCGGAAACTTTCCTACAGGATCCCAAAACATGAAAAATGCAATAGTCAGAGAACTAGAAAGGCGCCTGATGTCTGAGACAAGATCTGACACCATCTTAGAAGTGTCAATCAAAACTGAAGCTGTTAAATGTTACAATATTTTAAAGTGCATCATTGATGTTGTTCTCTTCTTGGGAGAACGTGATCTGGCATTTACTGGTTCATCCCATCGAATTGGTGATTCAAACAATGGAAACTTCTTAGGACTCATTGAAGTGCTCTTCAGGTGCGACCCCATCCTTCAGGAACATGTGCTAAGTGTAGAGGAGTTACAGAAAAGGAGCGAGCAGCTTCAAGTTCATTATCTGTCCCCTGACTCACAAAATGAATTTATTGCAGAATGCTCGAACCTTTGCAGTAATAGTAGATGCCACACCAGATTTCTCCCATATTTAACAAAGAACATTTCTTTTGAGATAGGTACTTTTAAAAGAAATGAAGTATGAGATTCAAGAAATATTTCTCAAGTTTGCAACAAAATAGGGGAAGAAATTGCTCAGTTGATAACTGATACATTGAAAGAACATGTTATTCCTCTCAGTGATTGTAGAGCTCAAGCCTATGATAATGTGGCAAATGTGACTGGAAAATACAACGGCGCACAAGCAAAAATACAAGAACAACGCTCAACAGCAATTTTTTCACCTTGTGGTTGTCACACACTCAACTTATGTGGAAATGATGCTGCTGAATGCACACCTGAAGCAATAACCCTTTTTGGAACAATTCAAACTGTGTACCACTTGTTCAGTTCCAGTCCCAAGCAGTGGGGATTACTACAAAACTGTATTGGTTGTTCTCTTCATGATATGTCTGAAACAAGATGGTCAGATCGTGTTGAATGTGTAAAGCCTTTTGCAGCTCACTTGCGTGGCATTAAATTAGCACTGAAGACCTCCTAGAACTAAATTTGACGGCCAAAACAAAACAAAGAGTTTTATTATATGTGACATCTTTTGCCTGTGTGTTAATGTCAGCTGTGTGGTACAAAATATTAGCTGGCATAGATAATTGCAACAAGGTCATCCAAACCAGAGATGCCATACTGGATGTTGAGTAACGAACATAGAAACTCTCTTCACAGATCTGATAAAACTTCGAAACAACTTGAAATGTATGTGGAATGAAGCCAAATTGGTTGCGTCAAATAATAGAACTCTACCGTAGATGTGGTGGAGTTAGGCACTAGAGGGCAAGGTCACATGATGACAGCATACCTGATGCTAACTTGGAGGAAATGAATGACACAGATGATATGCCAGAAGAGGCCTACTTCGAAAAATGTGTGTTTTACGTTTTGGTAGACAATGTTATAGCAGGATTAACTGATTTCTTGTGGAAATATTTCACCATGTCTGAAAGTGATGTGGAGAGAAAAGCTTTATCTTTATCAGAGCAATATCCTGCTGACCTTAACGGTGATGATTTTGGAAAAGAAATGCAACATTTACCCTCAGTACATAAAGCAAATTTTGGAAATGCACAGTTAAAGCCATTAGATCTACTGAACGTGTTAACAAAGTACAGACTTGGTGGCCTATTTCCAAATGTTTGTATTAGCTTAATAATATTATTAACAATTCCAGCAACAGTAGCATCTGCAGAGAGGTCTTTTAGCAAACTCAAGCTGATTAAGAATTATTTAAGGTCTACAATGTCTCAAGAACGTCTTGTGGATTTGGCCAGGCTAAGTATTGAATCAAACATTGCCAGAACAATTAATTTTCATGCTGTGATTCAACATTTTTCACATACACACACAAAAAAAAAGCCAGGAAAGCTCTTTTTTGTAAAGTAAATACTAAGCCTATCTACTTTTTACTAATAATTATGTCTTCTGATTTGTATTGTAGAATAAAGAATAAACAAAGATGTTCAGATGCGCTTTCTTCTCTCTGATCCTCTTTTATTTTATTTATATTTATCATGGATGGAGTATAGGAGCATAAGGCCCCTAATGCAGAAAATCAACAGAATACTCCATTCCACTCCTCTTCCATCTAGCATACCATTTTTGGCCTTACAGCTCATGGCATAAAACCGTAGTGGGTAAAAACAGGATGATTAATGGAGAAGAGAAGGGGGCCCGAAAGAAATTTTGTACCTTCTGATAAAACTGCTCCACACTTTCGGACCACGGGTGTACAATGACGATCCAATCCCATTTTTTAATCAGTTACTACAAGAGCTGGCTTTGAGTGTTGTTGACTATCAGTTCCAAATTAGGGACGGCTACGTACAAACAAATAACCATTGTATAAGTTTTGCACTAAATGGACGTTTAACGTGACTAAGCGTGCTTAATTTTAAACTTTCGCATACAAATTTTACACACTACAAAAGGGGCACTTCCCAATACCATATAAAAAATCGGACATTTTTAGTAACAAAAATTACGTTAAGCTATACATAGAAAACTACTTAATGTGAACTGGGCTTAAATGTGGATTAATGTGCTTTTAGTTCAACCAATCTCTAAAAACTACCAATGCCAATGGTAGTAATTCTAGTTACTAACTTGTAATGGACTAAAACAAAACTCCGATACAACCAGGGTCAAACAAAAAGCAATTTATTAAAATGTAACAACAAAAGAAATTCAAAATATAAAACTTTCAAACAAATTTTATCATTTACAGAAAATCGTTAGTAAACCCCTGCCTGGCCAGGACTAGGTACAAAGATTAATAAACAATACAACATAAATCTCAATGTTATATTAACTTCAATAAGTAAAGAAATTAGGAAAAAGAAACAAAAGCAGAAAAACAAAACACCTAATTCCAACAAAACAACAGCAAAAATATTCCAAAATTAAAACACTTCTCAAAATCAATAACAGTATTGACAAACAATTGGCAATAATTCATTCTAACTATACTTCATGAGTTTGTTTGTTGTTTTTTTTAATTATGCACAAAGCTACACAAGGGTTATCTGTGCTCTGTCCACCACGGGTATCGAAACCTAGTGACGTAACTCCGCAGACATACCGCTGGGGCTACTTCATGAGCTAACTCGTTTAAGATTAAAAAATGATTTTTCTTTAGTGTTTAGACCACGAAATTACATACAATGTGACTAGCTATTACCATAAATATACATAATCTTTCACAATATTAATATCTGCACGTCACAGACCAGGTGGTTAGGGCACTTGACTCGCAATCTGAAGGTCGCGGGTTCGAATCCACGTTCCACCAAATATGCTAGATCTTTCAGCCGTGGGGGCGTTATAATGTGACGATCAATCCCACTACTCATTGGTAAAAAAATGGCGGTGGATGGTGATGACTAACCGCTATATTTGACCTTCCTCTAGTATTTCACTGCTAAATTAGGAACGGCTAGCTCAGATAGTCCTCGTGTAACTTTGCACGAAATTCCAAATACAACAAACTGTATGTCACTGCTAGGGGAAGCTTGTGTCAATTTCGTAATACAAACATACTCAAAAATCAACGTGCTCACGCAAGAAGGTGGTAAGCAAGACCATAACAAAATAAAAGTAAAATTCGCTATCTCATAATTTAAGTGTTAAAATTCACAGATTTATAATCACCTTAACCCTCACGAATAACTCGTTTGATTTGCTTAATATGAAAAAGTACTTCGAAAGGAACAGTGTTTATCTTCTTAAAGAACTGTTCATTAACAAGTAAACTGACACTAGAGAATTTTTCAAAACTCTTAACATATTACAATTCTGCTAAACCAGGGGTCACCAAACTTTTTTCACAGCAGGCCAGATAACAGAAAATGACGAGCGCCGGCCGCATAACCATTTTGTTCAATACAATACAGCGAATACACAAAAAATAAAGACAACAAACATATTTATTTACCAATACACAAAAAACAAAGACAAACATAAAAATTACAGACAACAAACATGTTTATTTACCAAAAGTTATCAAAGAAGGCGACGTTAGCAATAAGATAGTTATATCACACCCAGTGTGCACATATCCGAATCTCACAAACTAAGCAGCAAAAAAGGTTAGTGAGATTTGTGAAACTGTCGTTTAGCTTTTGAGATATCATCAATATTTGCTTTGGTATTGCTGCATCCAACCAAGAGAATTGCTTTCTAATGTTCATCAGTCAACCTCGTTCGATGTGCTGACTTCACATACTTCATTTTTGAAAATGTTTGTTCACAGACATAAGTTTTCCCAGACACTGATACCATACCAGAGGCAAATTTCTTCAACTTTGAAAACTCATCATCAGGTAA